ATTAGTTATATTCTGTTTCACTTTAGTTCAGCCCTTCTCAGTTACTCTTTTCATTAGGTTTCTTTAGTTATTCTTAGTGTCAGATTTATTTTCTGTTCCCCTAGTATTCTCCTTTGCCCCAGATCCAGTTTTCTCTGTCTGCCTCCGGCTTCCTCCACTCAAACCTGCAACCAGTTAACTCATCAGCCCAGATCTTTTGTTCCAGCAGTCAACCTTCCAGTATTTTAACACTTCATTGTCAGTCATTACTTGGCAGTTCATCTCGTGATTTCTCCCTGGTTTCCCAGAGATCTCTACGTGTCTCCTCTTTGGGTTTGTTTAGATTTTTTTGTTTCCCAGGACTTTCTCATTTTAGTAAGTTTGATTCTTTGTTTTTTTTTTCATTAAATATACAACATAACTTTCATGTCTCTGACCTGCTGCAAATGGGTCCACTGACTTTACACATCATGACAATAGCAGCTTATTGCTCATAAAAAAACAGGCAAATGTTCTGCCTGGTGACATCAGTGATAGCAGCCACTGTTAAAACTGGTTGATCATTAAACCAGTGTAAATTTAAGTCTACCTGAGTAAACTTAAAATTTAAATTATCTATAAATAAACTTCAAGGGAATTATAAAGTTTTGTCTGCCTCAGCCTGAGATGCTTTCATCAGATTCTGTCCCTTTGACTTTCATTCTCATTCATTACATACATTTGATCACGATTAAGACTGAGGAGCTTTTTCTCTTACTAGTATGTGAACATTATAGGTGGGTAGTACAGCAGGGCAAAGGTCTACTGCTGCTCATTCTGATGTGACTGTAGTTACGTCAAAAAGAGTGTCTGTCAATTTTCACCCAGAGCCAAGCTATTGTTTCAGCAGTTCCTGAAACTAAAATGCATCTTAATCCTGGTTTAAATGTCAATTATGTCAAATTGAGGTCCTCAACTGCAGATGTCCTCCAACTTTTACATGCGTCTATAGTTTAACACATCTGATTAAGATAGTTAGATATTTAGAATAACTATTAAACTCAACTGAATACTTGGACCAGGGACACATCAAAAAGCTTTAGGACACAGTTTCTGTGTCATCAGTGGTTTTATCCCCATTGACTTATAGAGTCTCTTACACTCATGATATGAAAGAACCACTAAATAGAAAGTAAAATAACTATAAAATATTACAAGTAAAGCAAAAATTTATTAATTGCTTCACTCATTATGTTTATAGGAAAAAGTGAATAAAAAGGTATGCACGTCAAACTTGAAGAATAACTTCAAGTTGAGTTATTCTTCACTGATTTTGCATAACCTCAAAAATAAAGAAATGCTTGTAATGACCATGAGAATAAGTTAAATTGTTTGTGAATTAAATATTTTAGAAGTTATATGAAAGACTTGTAGATATTTGAGTAAACATACACTGAACTAAAACATTTTTTGCCCCATTAGACTTCTTTTCCTGCTGCTTTGTAACTCTTAAATGTCAGAGCCAGAAAATCGGATGCTTCTGCATTTCAGACATCTTGTTCAGAGAATGACAGGAGTTCAAACCTGGAAGTTTACGATGTATCCAAAAAAACAAACAAAAAAACAACACAAACAACACTTGGAAAAAATATTTAATTTGTTTTTGTTTTTTTTGATACACTTAAATGCTTCAGCTCATCAAACAAATATTATTATTAGACAAAGATAACTTCAGTAAATACAGAAACATGTTTACAAATGATCACTATATTTATTTAGAAGAAAAAGCTGCAACTCAATTTGGTCTTGTGTGAAAAAATAATTGCCCGCCTACACAACCAGTGGTTGTAACACTCCAGGTGGCAGCAACTCCTATTAAGCTCTGCATTGTAAGCAATTTCTAATAAATTCAGAAAATGATCTCAGAATCCTGACAATGATTTATTCAGCAGCTTGTTGACTCAGCTTAAAATCTAGAGATGATCCACTGGCTTTTTATTAACTGTGTTTAATAACAGCAAATTCTGGAAGATGACACTTTTTTATTGTTCCTTTTACAAAATAGGGAATTTAACTTTACATTCCTGTGTCAAACATTTCCTTCTTTTAATTTTAATTATATTGCTTGAGTTCATCTGGTATGGATATTCCATGAATTATAGAGTTGAGGTGCAAGCTTCTGGAAGGGCTTCAAAAGTTCAATCAGTCTTGGTATTCAGACATCATCTACAACCTATTTTATTTACAGCAGCTCTGTTCCATACAAGGAATAAAGGCTTATATATGTTTAAATATATCTAAGAATGTTTAATCAGGAGAAAATATTTTCATAATTTCCTTAAATACCCTTTTCACATAAGCAGAAAATAATAGTAAACACAAATTCACCATGAAACATATTTGGAGGAATAAGATACAATTTCAAAAGCATGATTTTTGTGTCCTACATTTTGAATAATTGGAAACTGTCTTCGATTTGTTGAGCATGGATTGGTTCGAATGACAAACCCATTAAAGCTTTTTCTTTTCTACGATTATTTTGTTACTTCAGTGGTTTCATGTTGGTACAGTATAAAAACTGGACTAAAACCATAACAAAGAATACATCACCACACTAAAGAATGACCACACATTTGGCTGTATTCATCAAAGTAGCTTAAGTGCAGTGCTCTGATATTTAGACAATATTTTCTTGCTTGAGCTTCTCAAAATAAAATTTGCACTTATTACAATTACAGTAACCTGACTGGATAAGTGATGTTTAACTTCCCCATTCTAGACCTTTCCTGTTACTGGAGGTGTAATGGTGCACATATTAACACTTAAAGTATTGATTAAAGTCTACTGAAATTAAACCAGACCGTGACTTTTGTGTGTCGTTGCATCCCTAAACATTGGAGGATTTCTTTTTAATCAGTGCAAAATCTGGCATCTGTAAACTGAATGTGGCTGCAGCTTCTTTATAATAGCTTCACATTTTATCTTTGCACTATCGCATGATCAGTATTATCCAAAACTGAAATGACAAATTAACAAGATACGCTAACTTCAGATTGGAACCAAGAAAATCTGTATCTTGAGTATTTTACTATATCTATATCCACTCCGAATCTATAATATCTGTATAAACTTAAGTTTTGTGAAAGAACACGCTACACATTTCAGGAATAACATTTTGCATTATAATATTGACCAGATTCGTACTAAAGGAAATAATTAAGCTATAAAGAGAAGATTGCTGCTCACTTTAGATTTATGAAAGTCATAAAATGAAAAGAGGGAAATATTCTGCCTTCTGCTTTCTGTTGCCAGTAAGAGCTGATGTTAGTTAATCATTAACTACTAAGGTGCCAGAATGAAGTAAACTTATGCTGAAATTTGCTACAGCAAACCAACAATCTCGTCTCTCTAACGAGCATCAGCCAGCTCTGTCATTGTTGGCTTTTGCTTAAAGAAATGTCAAGTTTTAGCAGGATTTAGTTAAAGCCAGACAGCCAGCCTGTTTGGTTTCAGCTGCATGTGGGCGGAAAGGGAAGAGTCCTTTAGTTTCTGTTGGGCCTGATGTCAGCGTAGGTTGATGAGGGGTTGTCTGATTCCCACTGAGGTTGCACATTTTTCTTGTTCTTTGCAAACCTGATATCTGCATAGTTCAGCTCCTGCATGGTAACAAAGAAAACAAAAAAACAAGAAGATTTGAGAGAAACCTCTTATTTAGAAATCAAAACTGTTGAATTTGCAAAATGTCTGCATTATCATAGATGCATAAAATATACTGAATACTGAATGAAATGGACTACAGGTATATCCCGCTGTATTTAGTTTTCATGGTGTAATGTCCAACATTATGACTTTTTGGACTGCAGGTCTGGCCCGGCCCCCTTGCGCCTGGCCCTGTTGTACTTTCACCTTGAAAGTGGGTGGGGACCAACATATCAATCAAATTCCTATTGAAGCTACCGAGCCCATTTTCCCAGAAACTGTGGAACAGTTTTGTTCTTCGTTGTCCAGTCCAACTCCTTCTGTACACGACTGTCACTGAAGCAGCTGAGGAAAAGAACTACCTCAACATTATCCTTTAAATTAATTAAATCATTAAAAAAATCTTAGCTGTGAAGCAAGATCAGAAAATCCCCTGATTCAGAGAGTTTTGCCGACTTCTGATCGCTTCAATGAGTCGTGGCAGACTGGCTCTTGTACTGGAGGTTTCTTCCTGTAAAACAGGAGTTTTTCCTCTCCACTGTTGCTACAAACGTATTCGGTATGAGGATTTGTTCTATAGTCAACAACACAACGTAAGCGATTCTCATCATGCTCGTCTAGGAGTGAATGCTGCAAGTCAATGACTCCATGCATTCTGGTGGGTTTCCTTAGATTGAAACTACTGTTTAATCTACTGAATAATTAATTGAGCGCACTGTACTGTTGGATACAGGATAAATTGGAATGTTTATGTCAGTGAATTGAACTGATTTTTTTGTAAAGTGCATTGAGACAACATTTGCTGTGAACTGGTGCAATATAAATAAACTGAACTGCATTACATTGAAATGAATTAGAGAAACGCTCAACAATTTAAAGAACTTTGGCTAAAGTGGCACTTGTATTTTCAGTATCCAGTGTAGCACAGAATGTAGATTCATCCTCTATCAACTTCAAAACCCTGAAGCATTTGATTATGCATAAATGTTAGAGCCAGACATTTGTACATCAGAACACAAATGTGGCCATCTTGAGCCCATCTGGCTCTCAAGGTTATAGAGAGGAGGGTGAAAGTGCTAACACTAGAGCCTAGTTTGAAGCAAGGCCAGGCCGGGAATGTCTCTGGCACTCTTCTTCGATCATCCCTAATCGTGCAACATCAGGTTGGAAATCATTGATAAAAGTGCCAAATTAAATATCAAGTGGATAACAATAAATCTTTTATAGTAAATTTAGGAAAAATACCTCATTAGTTACTAATGTACACTATGGTAGTCATGCCTCCAGTTATTAAGCAATTTTGCGCCTCTGCATTGAAAAGTTCAGATTTTCTGAACTTTCTAGACATAGAAACACAAAGTAATTTACCCCGACTTTCACTGTGACTATTTAACTATGTTTTAAAACAATGTTTAGTATGAAACACTGAAACATGAAACATTATAGCATTAGTGACTTTTACCTCATCAATGCTTACACCATTATTCCGTTTGTTCCCACCTGTAATACATAGATAAATTAAAATTAAACAATAAATACTGAATAATCAACAGACAGCAGGTAGCTACACACCTACCTGCTGAAATATTTCTATTTGAGGTTTTCCCCCGAGATTTTCTGTTTAGACAAAAAATAAAATGAAAAATAGAATAAGTTAGAGATTTACAAATATTCAACACACTCTATTTTCCTGTCCTAGTTTTTCATAGTTATTTAGAATCATATATAAAACAATACAATTACAATCACTGGATGGATATTGTTTTACATTTACAATTATATTTAATGCATTAATAAAATACAAATGACAGTACATACAGTCTAACCCAAAATTATAATTATAGCTAGAAAATAAAAGCAGTGCATTGTCAAGATACATAGACTATGTCATTTTGTTGACATTTTTAAGGCATAATCTAAAAACTTTTTCGCTCAACATTATTATTAATTACATAGGTTTTATTTTCCTTATGTTTCCAATGTTTAATTCCAGGGCTATTTTCCACTTACTTTTTTTTAAGTGTGAAGTAAACTCCAAGAACAATTAAAGAAACGCATACTAAACACCCAATAACAATTCCTGCAATGGCTCCAGAGGATAATGAGTCGCTGCTTTCTATAAAGGAATAAAAAAGAAAAATATGCTTACAATGCAAAACTGCCAAGTTACACAATGCCTTGACAAAAGCGTATTATCTCTATGCACAAAACAAGAAGCAGTAATGGATATTAATGGTGCCAGAAATAATATTTTTTACATTTAAAACATGATTCAGACTCTTTTCTGCTATGAAATAATGCAATCAAAGAACTAGAGACCAGAAATAGAAGCACTGAAAAAATGCTTCAATTTTTTCAGAATAGAAGCATTTCTATTCTGGAATAGAATAGAAATGCTTGGGAAGTATTGGTAATGCTTTCTTGAGAGGGGCTAGATGTGATATGGTTGTATCATAGAAATCATCTAACACCTTTACCAATGAAGTAGCCCCTTCACATAATTATCTGCCCTTCTAACCCTACACATTACCCTAAAAATGCTATTCCAGCAGTAAAAGATGCCTGTTACAGACTTATGCTGTTGGGATACTTTTCTTCTAATTAGACATGAAACCTGGTTGTAGTTGATGGTATGATGGAAAGAACTAAATAAAGGACAATAATGGAAAAACTATTAAAAGGCAGCAGAAGACCAGAGATTGGGATGGAGGTTCAACTTCTGTCAGGAAAACAACCCACAATCTAAAAGATTTGAGCCGCATTCAGTTGTCTATTATCTTCTAAAAATAAACTTGCGAGTTTTAGATTTTGAACCTAAATGTGTCAATTTGTGAAAGGTAAACTTACAAAAGTAAGTTGTATGAACATTTATTAATGTTGTCAAACCTCCAAGAGTTAGATAAATAAGAGTTTTCAGATTAGCGCTTCAGAAAGACTAAAAGGAGGACAGGAGTGGGAACTATTTCCCAGAGTGCTTAGCAGCATGTTTCTGTGTCCTGTGTTGCACCTTGAGCGAGATGGAAGTGTGTTACATTGATGTGACTCTTGTGGGTTAGCAAAGCTTAAGGTTAATGTCCTCTATGCATTAAATAATGTTGAGTGAAGTTTATTGTAATGTTTAATAAAATTCAATTTCAGATCAGAAACTTTGTTCATGCAATTTGAAATAAGAATTTAAATTATTCTAAAGAAAATAAGTAGTTATTTTCACTTGTCAGTGAAAACAAAAGAGAAATGTGTGCCCTTTAACCAGGTGAGGGGAGTTCTTTTCTTGCATATTGTGAAACAATTATTTGGTTTAAATTGCAGCATTAAGTTGAAACTTACAATTAAAGAATAATGAACTTAAACAATGTTTAGACAACTTGTCTCTTGTTGTTAAATCAACTTCATGATTTTTAATTTATGAATTAAAACCAAAACAACTTTCATATTGACTTAAATTGCATTTTCAAGGCAGCAGGTGGACTTTCATTTTCAAGTTAAACCACCTTCAAATGTTTTACAGTGCAATACATACAGCTAGAGCTACAATGGCATATTTACCGATTAGTATGGCTGGCCTAGTCAAAGTACAGACACTAAATTGAATTTAGTCTAAGTAAAAGGTGGTCCTAGAGGGCATAGGAGGGCTGAATACAAATACACTTTTGAGATTTTCATCTGTAAAAGATTTTGAAAGCTGTTTCTCCTCTTCTTTACCAAAATGTGTTGGTCCATCACATAAAATACGAATAAAGTATTTTAAAAGTTTGTGAATGTGATGTAGCTTACCTTCTTTGGCGTTATCTTCTATAGAGATAACTGAAACTTGAGATGTTTGATATCTTTTGGTTATGCTGTTAAAGGCCTGACAGCTGTAGTTTCCACTCTGATTCTTCTCAAAATTGGGGAGTTCAAGCTGAGGTCCAGAATCAGGCAGAACATTTCCATTAAAGAACCACTCAAAAGTGGCAGGAGGTCTGGAGTCAGCTGAACAATTCAGATGGATTTTCAACCCTTCTGGATATTTATGAGAAGGTGGTTCTAAGTTGACATTTTCTGGACCATCTGTAACAATTAATATTAATTAATTCTCCACATTTACCTTATAACCAGCTTTTTCAGTGTAGTGTTAGTTTAACAGCTGCTTCGTTAAGAGAAATAGTACAAATATTTGAAAATGAATCACATATTTAAAGTTTATTGGATGACCAATATTATTACTGACATGATTAACTGATGATGTTTTGCAAATATGATGATGTTGTACTTAATCTGACTTTTTAAAAATGTGTTTCTCATATTTTCTCATATAATAAAATAGCAACAAACAATAGCTATTAAGCTCCAATAAATGTATTAATTTCAAAAAGAGGTTATCATAGTGTTGGAAAAACTCACAGCTGACAGAGAGGTGTCGTGGATCACTGCTGGCACTGCTGGCAGGATTGGACACATGACAGCTGTATGATCCATCATCATATCTGGTCACATTGATTACAGTCAGATTGGATCCTCCATCAGTATCAGTGATCTGAACTCTGTCACTGGCTGTGACCTCAGAGCTGCTGTTCATCCAGAGGAAGGAGAGAGAAGATCCAGAGGAGGAGCAGGAGAAGCTGACAGACCCACTGAACTCAATCAATTGGGTAACGTCTTGAGTAACTTTTACATTAGAGACTGGTGCTGTGGGTGGAAAGCATAATTAAAATTAATGAAAAACAAAAAAATGTATGCCAAATA